CCCTGTCTCACTGTCTCACTGTTGGTTCGGTGTTTTGCGAAGCGTTGGCAGTCGCTGCTTGCGTGGGTGTTACAAGTAGTTTTGTGATCCCTTGAGGGGTATCTGTGAGGGGTTGGTTCCAAACCTGTCCCGTAGATATCCTCCGTTTGTGCGCTGTTAGAAGGAGAGTCTGATTGCAGCACGGCCTGGCTGTTCGTCATCGCTGTCAGTGCTTTTCTTAAACACTGGGGGATGTCACTGAGTTTTACTTTTCTTTTCTTGACTTCGGAGTAGATGATGGTGGAGCTACTCCTGTGCAAGACGAACGAGATTCAGGATCTGATGTTGAAGATGAAGGAAATGAGCAGCATTCTGGATCTGAGAATGGAAGTGTAGGGCACCATTCAGAGGTACTACTGGAACTTTATCCAGAAAGATTACTCGTCTATAAATTGATTTTGTTGTTGTTTAAAGACACATTTGCTCATAAGTGAGACTTACATGTTTATTCACTTGTTCTTAAGTGTCCCCTCTGGCAAAACTTTACTTCCAGAAATGAGTGTGTCCAATAATCTCTTAACCAACACACTGGACAGGATCTCTTTTATTTTTCTTCCTATGTATCTTGTTACAATAGCATTTGCTGTTTTGTGTTAGAAGTTTAGTACTGTTATACTCAATTAAAGGAAGACAAACTTTTAGAGTTTGAAATTCCAAGCAGTGGATTATGAGGAAGTTGGAGTTTTACATCAAATTCTGTGCAGTAATGTAAAAACTACACGTTATGGAGGCAGAGATTTCTTACCAAGGAATAAATGCTCTCCCATCTTTCATCCTAGATGTGAGTGTTGACTCTTGAGTGCTGTTTTTTACCTTGTCATTCTCAAAGGAGCAGATTTCCATGTGGAGAGGGAGCAGGTTAAGGTTCCTAAATTGGGTAGGCTCAAGCCTGCACCATGAAAAGGGTGGTAATGCTTTGATCCAGGCTGGTATCTGGGTGAGAGTCACTTTACTTGTGGATTGACTATTTTGGTTGAAGAGAGGTTTTGATAAAAGTGAAGGTTCCCTTTAGATTTCTAAGACAGTTTTGGAGGTAATCTTAATTTTGAGGAGTGTTTTGTGACTTAATTACATAGTTCTTACTAGGAATGAATGGCTTTGGCCTGTGAACTCCAGTCTTCTGCCAGCAAAGTTATAGTATGGAGAACTTTTTGTTACTCAAAAGCTGTAATCAAAGCCACTTTATTCTGATTTGCATGTTTTATTTCATTTTATGTAAAGATCAGGGTTAACTCTGAGCTTTCAGTGGTTATACATTTTTAAAATGGCTTCAAATTCATGGCATGATATAATGTTAAAAGGCTCAACTCTGCTGTGGTGTAACTTGCAATCCTGTTTTTTGTTTTCCACCTCTTTATTGAATTCATATTCCCAGAGTTAGAAACTAGATCAGATTTTATGTCTGTATAAAATGAAGTTTGTTCCCTTGTATTTGAGGTTTGAGTGTGAAGCCGATTTGGAATTTCTTCCCCTTTTAAAAGGTGCTGAAATTGATTTGGTGTGAGGCAGCATCTCTTATTGTGACAATCAGGATTTCAGCAGGGGAGAAATAACTTTTTCAAAGGGCTTTAGTACTGCTGTTTTAATTTTAAAAAGGTGAAAGTCATGCTGCTGCTACAGTGAGATTAAGCTTTTTATGCCATGTGTGAAAACTTGGTCATTTGTTCTTACCTTTCTATACTCCTGTGGGATTGTAATTTTATTGTGGCAAAGTAGTTGGAAATTTGGCCTGAAGAACAGGTAGCTGACTGTTAGTTACATCTTCAGTGTGTCTTTTCAAGACTTACATAACCAGAAAGTACCAGGAGCTGTTGTCATTGTTAACTGATCCTCTTCATGTGCCTGCATGATTTCAAGGGCTTTATTCCCTGACAGCTGTTGAATATTATAAAACACTTCAGAAAGTCCATTTTAAAAAAAAAACACCAAACTAAAACACCCTTTCTGTCCAATAGTAAATGTGAACCTTCAAACCTTAGGGCTTTATTTGATTCAGTTCAAATTGTGAGCTGCAAACTCTTATGTTCTTAGTTTTTCATGACATCAAACTCAAAATGCAATAAGTTGGAGCAGCTGTCTCTGAAAGGATTAACTTTCAGTGATTTATCATATTATTTACCCTAAATATGCTCTCATCCTCTTATTTCCTTCATCTTTAGGAGTATGTGGGAGGAATGACACTTAAAGGTAATAAAACCCTTGAGACAGCCTAATCAGTTAAGTCCATTTAATTACTATTTCGTCTCTAATTTCGAACTCAGATGTAAAGAACTGAAGTTTTAAACTTTCAAACTTTTTTTTCAGGTTCTTAACTTTAAAGAAAAGGGGAATCCTGAGGAATTACTTATGTAGGTCTCAGGTATGTGGGTTTTTCTTTTCCACAATTCTTTTCTGGCTTTCCTTCCCCCAATCCCACTTTATCTATAAATGTTCTCCTTGATGTCCTTACCGATTCTGCTTTTGACAAATAAAATTAGATCACACATAGTTTTAGTACAGTAATGGATATGAAATCATGTTTACAGTGTTTGTACAAGTCAGGGTTATACAGAAATCTTTAATGACTTCAATTCTTACACTTCCACCAAGTCGCTGCTGTCCTCATTAATTAAGTTATGGTTTTACTGTGGCTGTTAACAAACACATACAAATATCTCACACTTCTGAAAAAAAGACACTTGCTGATCTGCCTCTGATGGTGATGTCTGCCTTGGTTTAACAACTGTCATTCATGAGACTGTAGTGGATGGGTCCATTTTGTTGAACTTACTAAATTGTCAAAGTAATACCTCTTAAAAGTGGCTGCATGTCGATCCAGTAAACTACCTGCTAACTGAAATGTTTATGTAGAAGGATAACACTGTAAATTTGATTTTGATGTATTCCTTATTTTATACTGTACTAAAGCCTCATGTTACAGACTTCTGTCAGTTGAAAAAAAAGGACATCTCAATTCCAATGTTTATAGATAAAGAGGAGGAAGAAAAGTAAGCAAAGGAATTAGAGAAAAATGCAGTAACAATTACCTGAGACCTACTTGTTTTTGAGGATGTCTGATCTTTCATTTTCATTATTTGGAAAAAGAAAAGTAGAAAACTCCAAAATTACTCATTTAAAAACATCTTTTTAGAGACGAACTAGTAAATAAAGAAGGGGTGGGGGTGAGTAGGGACTGTGCTACAGAGTTAGCCACGTTCCTGTGAGGCTGCAGGCTCTGTGTCCCTTGCACTCCAAACCCCAGCAGGCTGGCCCATGGCTCCAGAAGGCCTTGGGCTGCTTGGCACTGTCTGCCTGTCAGGCTGGCTCTGGTGCTGCCTCCCTGCTCAGCCTGCCAGGGACACCCCTGGCATCTCAGTGCTGGTTCTGCAGGGGATGGTGTCCTGGCAGAGTTGAGGGGCTGCTGGCACTGGGTCTGTGGGGCAGATGGGGCGTGTCTGCCTCCCTCCCCAGACATCTGTGTTCTGAAGGCTGATGGTCAGTTTCCAGCAACAAATCAGAGTCAATACATCCTAAAGTGCCTCAGTAATAATGCTGTGTAATTGTAATGACTTCTTACAAAGGAGTTCTGCATGGGAAGTTCCTAGTAATTTAGTAATAGATTTGGAACAAGTGGATCTGTAAGCTGCAGCCATACTTCCAACCTTAGAAATATTTAAGAATCATTATGCTTTCAATTTTAGTTTTAGTTTTGTTTCCTTGTTCACTGAAGATTTTCTAGACTGGCAGTCTGCAGATGATGACCCTGATAGTTTAAACAGAATTATTTGTATTATTTTCCTTGGTTTTGTTGAGCAAACTCTCATATTACTGCTGACATATTATCAATATCTATTCAGCATTAGCTGTCTGAAATCAGGAGAAAATAGACAAACTCAGCAAAAATTAAATGGTAGGAAAATAAAGATTAAAGACTTTCTGTTATAAAGATCAGCTTTGGTGTAGACCTCTGCTTTCAAGTACCTTTTCAGAAAGCAGCTTTTGAAACTTAATTTTGTCTTTTCTCGATGACCTTACCTGTGACACTGCTGTAAAATCTGTTTCCTGATCTGTTTGCACCTGCAGTTTTCTTTAACCTTAAGTAGCACAGTCAGAGAAAATACTTCCCATACCACGTTGTTAGTTTATATGGGAGATGTTGGGCAGGAGAGGCCAATGGAATCAATTTTGTGGTAAGAGGAGAAAAAAAGTCAATAAAATCCCTTAAACAGAGAGCAGCTGTGTGCATATGGTCTTCCTCAGCTGTGCCTCCTCCATTCTGCAGCTTCTTAATCTTTGTATTTAATGCTTTAAGGTTCCAGATGGAGGTTTTAGCAGAACCACGTTTCCTTTCTGCAAGGAAGGATAAGAAATGCTGAATAATGCCACCAGCATGATTCAAAAGCCAAGCAGCAGAGAGCAAACAACTCACTCAGATTATCATGACAGCTGTTTTGTGGCTAGTACTCAGTGACAGGGAAATAGAGAAGTTGTATTTGAGGTGCATGTTTTAAAATTACATAGTCTGCATTTTTTTTCCACTGTGCAGCAACTTTGTTAGTGATTCTTCAGTAATTTGGAAGTTATTATTTTATTGAGTGCTAGCCAGTGGAATAAATGTGTAAGGTCCAAAATCTTAAAAAGCAACATTGTTTACCACTTAGTATCATTTCTAAAAACAGTTAAAATTAATTTTATTTAAGATTCCTTCTTCATTCTATGTTTTAAAGAGGCATTGTTTGTTGCAGGGGCAGGACAGGCACACCTGGGTTATTTTGTGTGAGTATGTGTGTTTATTTTCTGTGACTACAGAAAAAAATAGGCAGAAAGTCAGTTTTTCCAAGGAAATGAGATTGTTGACAAAACATATTTGGAAGCTCCAGGACATACAGGTCTTAAAGTGTTTCCCAGGACAATAAATACTCCACTTGCAAATGTGCTACTGGAAAAGGTCTGCAGCTGAGACAAAAGCACTTCTGAGGAAAACCTGGTGGAACAGTGGAGTTGGGGATATAGAAAAGAAATTCCTTTTGCAGTATTGTTCTTTTCAGTTGCAATCAGGATTATTGTGGCAGTGACTGAGTTAGTGACATGAGTGTCCAAGGGTCTAATCTTGTTTTCTCAGGTAAATGCAATTGAGGTTTTTTTTTCCAAGTAGAAGTGAGATGTTCTAGGAAAGATGTTATCAGTAATGATACTGACAGGTGGCTTCTGAAAGATTTTTCCAAAAGTGGAGCACATGGCTTGGTGTTTGTTGATGTGTGGAAAGGGGCACAGAGGATTGTGCTGAGGTTTTAAGAAGATCAGTGTATTTGTGCCTGGGTTGTCTCAGGTGTCTGATAGGTGTGGGAGCTGTCAGCTTAAGTGAGGGAAGCATGGGGTCTTACCTTCAACATTCTTACATTGAAGCCCAAAAGTCGTTAGCAATAATGCTCTGAAGGGTCTGACTAAAACTTTATCCTGGTTTTTGGTAGGGTTTTGGGCTTGGTACGTTCTTAAATAAGTTTCCTTGGCAAAGAAGGAAAGGGCACAAGCTCTTTTGAGCTCCACTTAGAAAGTAATGCACGTGCAGTTTCAGTAAAATGTATTTTATGGAAAAAAAAGTAATTGAGATGTTAAGAAAACGACAAGTGTGAGATACTGGGTTTTGCCTTATTGCTGGGAATTTGGACTAAACCCTGTGGAAGGCTTGACTTTCTAAAATAAAACTGCTAAGCATTTACCCTTTAGCAACTGGAACCTTCTTAGACATGTTTATTTGAGTGGGTTTTAAATTCTGTTACCAATTCCAAAATATGATTGAGCTGTAGGGTGGACAGACTCTCACTGATCTCATAATATTTTTCTTGATCTGAAGTATTTGATAGTCCTTTGATGCAAATTGTCTAATAATTATTTCTGTACAGGAAGTACTTCAGTTTACAGTACCTTGGGTAATCTCATTGGAGGAAGGACAAGCAAAACTTCAGATCATTTCTCATTTACTTTTTAAGGGATTCTTTTTGCTTAGTTGCCTGAGATTTATGTTTCTCTTCCAGAATGAACACAGTGATGGAGACGAGGATGGGCAGATGGGAGAGCCTCATGAGACCGACTCTGACAATGAAGATATCCCAAGGCAAAAGGACAGTGACTCAGATAACGAGGAGCCTCCAAATCACAATGGGAGTGATTCAGACAATGAAGCAGCTGGTGGAGGGAAGGACAGTGATTCTGACACTGAGGAGCGTCGAAATCTTCATTTAAGTGACTCTGAAAATGAAGAAGCCTTAAATCATCGAGCAAGTGACTCTGAAAACGGAGAACCTCCCAGGGATCACAGCAGTGATTTTGAAAATGAGGAGTCTCACAAGCAGACAGCCAGTGACTCTGAAGGTGAGGAGATCCACAAGCAGCCAGCCAGTGACTCTGAGGGTGAGGAGCTCCACAAGCAGCCAGCGAGTGACTCAGAGGGGGAGGAGATCCACAAGCAGCCGGCCAGTGACTCGGAAGGGGAGGAGGAC